ATACACACCTTCGCCCTTGAGCCACTCAATTAAATCGGCTTTAAGACGAAACGCGAAGTCAACGTGTGACTCATTCCCCTTTTTAGCATACCGGAACCTTTGCCTGAAAGCCTCGGGTGACAATTTATAACGTCTTAAGAGCACTTCCTTAACCTCGTCATAGCTCTCAAACGCTTCCCTAGACAAGCAAGTTAATGCGTCGGACACTTCGCCGGGAAGAAGAGCTAACAGGTTCTGCGCCCAAAGAGACCGCTCCAAAGCGTTTCGCTCACAGACGTGTTCAAACTTGACGAGATACTTCGCCATGTCCTCGCCTACTACGAACGGTGGCAGTTGGTCCCGAATTCTAAAACCGCTGACCTGAATCGTCGGAGAAGCTACGCTAGGCGCCTGCGAACACTGTAGGATTGCCAATTCTAGTCGTTTCAACTCGAGACGCTCCTGTCTCTCGGCCTCCTCGCGTCGTTCGCGCCTTTCAGCTTCTTCACGTTCGCGAGCTTCGCGCCTTTCAGCTTCTTCACGTTCGCGAGCTTCGCGCCTTTCAGCTTCTTCGCGAGCTTCGCGCCTTTCAGCCTCCTCACGTTCGCGAGCTTCTACTTCTCGCCTTTCAGCCTCCTCACGGCGTGCTTTAATATCCACCCAGGCCTCATCGACTTCCTCAGCCGACACTCCCTCATCCTTCATGATATCAAGGATCGCTTGCTTTCGTTTCGCACGGCCCAAAGTAATGCCAAGTTCCTCACAAATTTCGATGAGTTCCTTCACTTTAAGGTTCTCCATCGTTCACACTAGCCTCTTGCTGTTTGCCCCTGTTAAGAATCTACTTGCCGTACCCACTATAAGCCTACTAGCAAGACGCGCAAGCAATTTTTCACCCTCCCGTGTTTACCACCTCCGCATTAACTTTGGTTTCAAAGCACTTCAACTTGGCTTGAAACGATCAAAGCTCACTTCAATGCTTCACACAGCCCTTTCTCTAAACTACTACAATCTGAGCTAGAGTAGTCTGGTGAACTGAGGGGAAAACATCAGGCACTCACCGCATCTATGTCGCTGACGCCGGCCGATCCCGCAGCTGCCAACCACTGTTGAGAACGACGGACCTATCCCACCGCTGCCACCACTGTTGCGAAGCCACCTCCGAAATCCCGCCGCTGACCTCCACTGTTGCGAAAGACGGCGACGCCGACGCGGTCCCGGAGGCGCCACTGCTTTCGACCCCGCCGGGAAGGTCACCAGCCGTTTGGTAGCGTATGTTTCTCAGCTCGCGACTGCTTCTGCGCAGAGCTGAGAAATAAATAAATAAATAAATAAAAACTGATTCCTAGCATCACCATGTCGCGCGGTCGGCAGTAGCGCCGATGGCCCTGTCATGGTTTTGGTTTCCCCGCGTGATCGCAACGGATAAGTGCGCGACACTTGGTTTTTATCTTTATCGTACGCTTTTGCAGGGGCGGTGGAAGCCGATTTTCATCTTTATTGGGGCAGCTTTTAGCTCATTTATCATCGGCGCTCACGAGGTATTCTCTTTCTCCTTGATTATTGAGGTTACTCTGCCTAAGGCAGCCACACGCAGAGGTGCCCCATGTGTGCCAATGCAACTCGTTGCTCCAAAAGAACAAACACATTTTATTTGTGTGGACTGTGAGGAGGCGCTCTGCGTTGACCCATGTTTCAAGCAATATCAAGTTCTGAAATACTATAGGTTCACATGAGATCATCCGCAGGGGGTGCTGGTGCGGCAGCCGCTGTAGTGTAGTCGCACACGCTGGTCATTGTATGACGACCGAGGTGCTTGGCTGCGTGGCGCCACCCCTGGCGCTAGTTTTTGTGATATCTTTTCTCATCTCTTCATATGAAATCAGAACATCATGCAATCAATCGCTGAAGAACCACAGCAGTGTTGGTCGAAGATAGGTACCCAGTCAAAAAAGTTCAAGTGGTTCAATTGGAAAAATACCAATTGACATCAATTGGTTTTCAACCCATTGGAATTTGGCCACCAGTTGGAAACATACCAATTATATATTATTGGTGAACCAATTCATATTCAATTAGTTATAATCATTTAGGCAGAACTGGTGGATAATTGGTTGACCAATTGATGTAGGGGGGGGGATCAATTGGTGATCTAATTAAAGCTAACTGGGATCCAAATGGCTAACCAGTTAAAGTGAACTGGTGTGCAACTGCTAATCCAGTTAATCCTAAATGGTCCTCCAGTTGAAACTAGGTGGTGTTCAATTGGTTGATCAATTCAAATAGATGTAGTCATCCAATTGAAACTAGCTGGCTTCTAAAGGGTTTGTGGGTTGAAGAGAATTTGTGTCCAACTAGAAGGTCAGTCGAAGGTACGTGGTGCTCAATTAGTTAAGCAATTGAATAGATGTGGTCATTCAATTAAAGGTAACAGGTGCTCAAGTGGTCACCCTGTTAAAATAGACTGGTTTCCAACTGGTTAACCGGATGAGCGCAAATGGTCATCCAATTAAAGCAAACTGGTGCTCAACACGAAGAGGCTTTATTAGACGACAATAGTTCGGCAAAAATGTCTTGTACATAGCGAGATTTATAGTACAACTCCCAATTCCTGCTAGCAAAGGTATATGTAGTTAAACTGCTGCTCGGTCTGCTGCAGTTTCCGGAAAGGGGATCGTTGATATATTCTTGTTGCTCAGAGTTATTTCTTTGTTCCGCATTGCAACAGCAATCATGCAGGCAGGCTGCATGAAAGAAAAATATAAGACATAGATAAAATAGACTACATGGCTGCAGTAAAGAGGTTAACACACCGGTCTAAAACTCTGTAACTGCACGCTCTGGCACTTTCCAGATTGGGTAGTTCGAGATAGTCCACAGGTGAGCATTCGTCTTAAGCAGCCATGCATTCCAACATCGATGTTGCGATTCAGAGTGCGTCATTAGAGTGTTCCAGACCAGTGTGGTTACCTCTGCACAAAGTATGGAAATGTTACCGATGTAACTAGACTTACCGTGTACAGTAGCTCCCACACTTCATGCTAGCTACGCCCGTGCACCGTGTCCGCTGCAGTCGCGAGCCAACACTAGTTAGTGTAACGAACAAAATGTTCAAAAGATAACAATACAGGTGTTAAGGTGGTTCAAAAGTAAAATACTTGCCTTGATTGTAAATAAAAAGGGCTGAATCAATGGATCATGCCAGCATAATTACTGCAAAGAGGCTGGGTATAAAACACGTCGGTGAACATTGCGACTTGTGCCCGCTGCGGTGGTCCATTAGGGATGACGATCCTGATGGCACGTGCTGCAGCGCTTTCACTGTGAGTGCGTGCTCTTTTATGAAAATCTAGACTACACAAAGATTGCTTTCGTCGAAAAGCAATACAAAGTTTTGTAATGAGAAATTAATTTATAAAGTTCATTTTGGCCTCACTTTATCGCTTCAAATGCAGCGGTTGTGGAAGGGTTGTTAGTACTAAACCAATGCTTGCTCAACCGCTTTCTTAATGTGTTCTTGTATGATTGAACTGGGGTGGCTACTCGTGTCATGAAGATGTGAAATGGAAAGAAACATTTGTAGCAGATATAGTACTATAGTAAGGTGTTTTATGATTTTGGGAAAAAATATTGCAAAATTTTACCACCTCACTCATTGCCAACTTCACAGAACTTGCACAAGGCACTCCATAGGGTTGACCAGTCAAAGAGAACTGGTCTTCAGTTGGTCAGCCAGTTGTAATTAAATGGTTTCTACCAGGTCAACCAGTTGAACACTTACAACACTCTTTACAACTAGAATATTTCAAATAAAGGGTCTCCTCCGATTGGAAAGTATTTTCCCATGCGGGTGTGCGCATTCAATTGAACTAACAAGCATTCCAATTGGGAGGCCAATGGGAATTCACTGTTCCAATGGTTTACCAATTGGGATGTGTGCAACCGATTGGACTGACAAGCATTTCAATTGGGAGACCTATCGGAAAGTGGTGTACCTATATGAATGATCAATCGCAACTGCGTGGTCCAATTGGTCATCCGCGTTGAAGCACCACGTCCCAGTTGCTTTCCAATTCATTCCATTTAGGACCAATTGCTATGAACTGGTATGACCAATTGAACCAATTCACTTTTTTTTGACTGGGTAAAGATGTAAGCCTATGGTGCAGTTTGCAGTCATAAATGATGCCGACACCAAAATACTGTTGCTGATGTTTTTAATAAAATTTTTCTATTGTACACATTTGGCACATTCAAAATCTGCATTGAAGTAATTTGAAATTTTGGAAAGCTTAGAAAAATGTTGCACGAAATGTTACACATGCTTACTAGACAGTGACAGCATTGGGTGGCATGGTACCTTCTTGTATTGACGTGGCAGAAAGTTGTGTGCCACTCAGGGAATTTTGCAAAAATACTCGGGGAAAACACGGAAATCTCGGGGAATTTCAAAATGCTGACTTGGTAGACACCCTGTCATAGTGTGTGATATTACGACTGGTTTGGGTGTGTGTGCGGCTACAGTTGTCTGAGGGCCAACAGCTGTGCCTTTTTCATCTATCATCTTCCTAGGCCTAGGGAAGGGTAGGTAGGTCAGTTAGCGGGCCTTGGTGAATTTGTTGCAGCTTGGCAAGTGTTCTTTGAGCTTTAGTGCTGTCCCATGGGCGATAGTCACCGGCGTGAGCTAGCGCACCTTGGTATGTGCCATATGATTTAGGTTGTCTCTGATACTGCTCTCATGAGAGTGGCAAACCAACAGATTTTGGTTTGAAATCTATCTCCCACTGGACCTGGCTGTTGTGCAGGACTTGGACCGAATCAGGAAAATTATTGGTTTTAATGAGATGTTTTCTGTAAGCCATGGCACAAATCTCGTAGCAGTGTTCGACTTGTTCGCAGTCAGCTCAACAATTATTCATCTGTGCTTGTCTTCTTTGCAGTGTCGTGATTATCTTGCAAGGATTAAAATATATTTCAAACGTACTTGTGATAGAAAATGTTGGGCCGTCCTCTTTCGTTTTGCAGTGGAAATCTTTGCACCAAGATACCGTCCGGCCACCGGCATATGTACCCCTACTACAAGAGAGCTGTATGCAACTCTGAGGACTTGCTTGCGACGTTCGAAACCGTCGTTCGTGTGGCGGATTACATGGCTGTGTAAGTGCTTTTACATGACACCTTAAGCTTCCTTCCCGATTTCGGGGAAAGCTTTTAGGGTAACGGGATCTTGCAAAGGATTGCTTATGGTTGAGGAGATGTATATTGGCTGGCCTTGTATATTGGCTGGCCTTCAGAAGACGTAGACAACTTGCGCATTTTCTGCGACAGATAGTGTGATACGTTTGTGATACGTTTTAGGCCATGCAGTTGGGTGTTGCTGGCTTGCTTTGGACTTATGAGGAAAGGGTAATTCAAGTATATTACAAGTGATAAAATGGGCTCTAGAGCTTTTTTTTTTGAGGCACAGGTGATCGACTTGACTGCTCATGCTGTGAAAAACGAAGTGAATGTGGGTGTGTATATACAAGAGCACTGCACAGGCTACGATTCTCGGCCTGGGTTCAGAAATTGTTTAAGTTTACCAATCCAAACCTGGCCTAGTGACCGAAATGTGAAACATGGGCCTGGTCCAAGCTTGAGAAAGAATTTAGCCTGCTGGGTCCAGCCCGGCTTGACCCAACTGCTGTTGAGGCCCAACAGGAACCCGAGCCTATAATCTAGGTGTTGTTGTTTGAACAGGGAATTGACAGTAAGTTGTTTTTAAATGCCAAATATCTATGCTGTGTTGGTGTGTTCTTTGCATATGAGGATGCTTTAACCTTCTTGTCAATAGTGGCTCACGGTGGAAAAAGTTGAGCCGACAAACTGGGCACGATGAACGTTGTGCAGGGCACTGCATCTATTTTTGTCTGCAAATAGAAGGAGGGTCATCAATGACATTTTGCAGCAGATATTGTAGCTCTGAAAGTAGTTTGCATCATGAGTTCTGTTTCATTAGGCAACAGAAAGAGAGGAGCCAAAGAACATAATTCTGTCTTTATTTTGATTGAACTAATGCTCTAATGATCAAGTCAGTCATATACCCTTTGGATATGTAGCACCAGTCTTCAGCAGTGCCTTGCCAACACAAGATAAACAGAAGAAAATAAGCCAAATTTGTGACTTTTGTTAATGAACTAACCTGACGGAATGCACTATGTGCAGTTTTTAGGAATTCATATAAGCAGGAATAAGAAAGAAAAAACTGTTTTACTGTAGTTTTACTGTATTTTTAAAGTTAATAAACCAGCCTTATCTGCAATGAGTGTGTATAGACAGTTCGGTGAGGAGACGACATGGGGCAGATGATTACATGTGGAGGGGCTAATCGACCTTTCTATTGGCTGAGGGGCCCTGTAGCCTCCACAGTGCTGAAGGATAATTTTGAAACAGAGTGTAGATTGGCCTGTGCCTAAGCAGACTTCTGGCACCACAAGTAAGGCTGCTCAGTTTCCAGGCATTTGCACACTGCCATAATGACTGTGAGAAAAAAAAATTGAAAAGGCAGCTTGAAGCCAGAATTGCTGTCAGCTTTCGAAGAGCAACCAAAAAATGCTGTCATGTGCGAGAAGCCATCAATGCAACAAGCAGTGATTGATATAACATTTCGTTGCATATATTTTAAGTACAGTAGGCTCATTGAACAGAACATGAAAGGACCAGGTAAACGTGTTTCGTTTAACAAGAGTCTCATTTACTGAGAGATGAACAGGAGTGTAGAATGCTTGTGTGAAACCAATCACACCGAGAGCAATTGTTCGTTTAACAGGTGTTCATTTACTGAGAGCCTGCTTCATGTCAGAAAAGTCTTCTGTTTTTTCGGTAACTGGCAACAAGTCTGTCAATGATTTCGACGCGTGCAATTGCCGTGATGCCTTCGCAGGTATTAAAAAAAAAGCTAAGGCAAGGTGGGCGGCGAGTGCTGAATGCACCATTATGCCTCATTGTCGACAGCCTTGTCATGATCATCACCAGCTGTGTGCCTTGAACGCAACACAAGAGCACAATGCTGCCGTTTGCTGGTGTTAGGTTGCTTTCCAGGGTGCTCCACTTTGTGGACAAAAGCTGGCTGGCGCCCAACTGAGTAGCATGGGCACTGAGAAACTTCAATCCAGCGACCATACTGCATGCTTTATAGGTGACAATCGAAGTGAGTCACACCTTATTGTGTAAAGCTCGTCTTGCTGCTTGCTGATTCCCGAAGTGTGGATGCAACGTGCAGTGACTTTATCAAAGGATTGTTTAATATAACTATGGATACATGGAATACAGTTCATCAGCCCTAAGCACTTGTGGAATCCTAAAATTTTCTTCTTCGGTGGAACCTTCGTTTTAGAACACTTGCTGGCCTCTTGTGCCATGACCAGCATCGAACTGACATATTGTGTATGTTTCGCAGCCATAATGAAAATCTATTGCAGTTAAGCCTGCCAATAGGGTTGCAATGCATGATGTTCATTTTTTGTGCATTTGCACTTGCTACTTGTGTTTCGCAATCATTATACTATTATTTGTACAGCTGTTCATGTTTATTAATGGGTCATTAGTCACACAAGATTGGCTGGTGACTGTGTACTGTGCAATTGCCTTTGCAAACTGGGGGTTCTCGTTTGCAACCATTTTTAATGGCTATATTGCGGGCTTTCTGAATACTTGGCCATTGTTGACATCTTCAACCTCACGAGGTGCAACAGAGATGTCGGTCTCAATGGATGATGTCAACATTTTGGAATGACCAAAACTCACTTCTGTAAGCAGGCTGTTGTGCGGGCACAACAACCATTGCCAGAGTGAAGCAGGGGAAGCTGCCACCCAGCATGTGTCAATAGCAGCATCCTGTGTAGGTGTTCGAGCTGATGATGCCCCGCTCATGAAGTGCATTCATTCATGCTCAAGTTGCTGTGCCCAGGGAGAACTTCTCCTTTTGCTCCAACATATTCCTCTGAAAGCTTTCCTGCTGTCATCCAAGCCATTGCATTACTTCCATATGGAGTCGGGCACCTTTCTTTAAAGCACCCTGGTTTCGCATACCGGCAAGCAGTGGAAGTTCTTGGCTTCCTCTTGCATTAATGCTTCAGAGGCAACCTAAAAGTTTCCTTTGCATGCTTCCCACAAGCATTGTCTTTGCCCTTCGAAACAAGCGCTCTGTTAAACAGTACTTTGCAAAAGAGTGTCGACTTGTGTACGTTTGTAGTTTAGAGCTTTCTGGTAGGATTTTCCTTTCTAATTGTGAGCACGCACGCAATGCGAATGAGAGGGCACATTCGTGCTGTTTACCCCTTTTTTTTTTTGCTCAAAAGACATTAGTTCAGTTAAGGGGGGTTTTGCTGATTCAATAGACTTGGCGGCTTGAACATGACTGGTCATTCAACAGGTTATCATTCATAACTCCTTCCAAATGTCTCATGTGACAATTACCCCTGGCAGCCAGTATTGTGGATTGGGCGCCTTCGTTCTGTTCCAATCACATTCCGGGGAATTGAAACTCGTAATTCTATTCTCTCAATAGAATGAAAAAAACCCCAGTTCATTCTGACCCTGGGAATGACCGGGCAGATCAACTCCATTCCTACATTTTTTCAACGTAGGAAAGGCATGCTTTGATTTTGATAGCTCTGTCGAGCTAAGAATGATTGTAACAACATAAAGCTGCTGTTATCAAATTCATTAGGAATTGCAGAAGTATACAAAACACTGGTGGAGGGACAGTAGCTCGGTGACTTATCTCGGGTAGTACAACCACACTACTACTTCTGATGGGGCAGTTCTCTCGCTACCTATAGTATTTGCATGGTCAGCACAATCTTGGAAAGAAAAGTAAGTAAACAGTTGGCAACACATCTATTGACTTCTTTCGAGCGTATTTTACTACCTTCGTGGCATTTCTTTACTCTAGCCAGCAGCTAGTAAAGCTTCAAACTTTTGCCGTTACTAACCAGGGATGCTTTCTCAGTCTTAACGAAGTAACTACCAAGCCACATATGTTGCTCGATCCTTGCAGTAATTGTGGCACTCTTTTATTTTGTCGATTACTTTGAAATAAAAATTTCGTGCTAAGTGATGACATACATATGTGCAAATAGAAGCCAGATGATCATGTGTACAAATTGTCTGTTATTTTTCTAAATTCTATGAGTGTTAACCAGTACACAGTGTACTATTCCAAACTATATCGTAGCGTAAATATTCTCAAACGGCTTCTACAGTACGTACCGGCTAATCTTGACATTCTATAGGCGCGTTTTCTTGTATTTCCTAGTCTGTGATTCGTTCATGCCCAATGTATGTTGCTGTGATGCATACTTGTCATGGTAATTGCATGAAGTAATTAGTGGCCACTAATTAATCTATGTGAACAATTTCACTTCGTTTATTCTCCTACATATTCTTCTGTAATAGAAGTATCTTAATGTGGTATTCTAAATGCATATATCATCATCATCATCAGCCTGACTACGTCCACTGCAGGACAAAGGCCTCTCCCATGTTCCGCCAGTTAACCCGGTCCTGTGCTTGCTGCTGCCAATTTATACCCGCAAGCTTCTTAATCTCATCTGCCCACCTGACCTTCTGTCTCCCCCTAACCCGCTTGCCTTCTCTGGGAATCCAGTTAGTTACCCTTAACGACCAGCGGTTATCCTGTCTACGTGCTACATGCCCCGCCCATGTCCATTTCTTCTTCTTGATTTCAGCTATGATATCCTTAACCCCCGTTTGTTCCCTAATCCACTCAGCTCTCTTCTTGTCTCTTAAGTTTACACCTACCATTTTTCTTTCCGTTGCTCGCTGCGTCGTCCTCAATTTAAGCTGAACCCTCTTTGTAAGTCTCCAGGTTTCTGCTCCGTAGCTAAGTACCGGCAATATACAGCTGTTATATACCTTTCTCTTGAGGGATAGTGGCAATTTACCTCTCATAATTTGTGAGTGCTTGCCAAATGTGCTCCACCCCATTCTTATTCTCCTAGTTACTTCAATCTCGTGGTTCGGCTCCGCGGTTATGACCTACCCTAAGTAGACATAGTCTTTTACAGCTTGAAGTGCACCATTACCTATCTCGATTTTCAGAGGTTGTTGTACGTTACTATCGTTTTCTGCAGATTCATTTTAAGACCCACCTTTCTGCTCTCCTTGTCTAACTCCGTAATCATGAGTTGCAATTCGTCCCCTGAGTTACTCAGCAATGCAATGTCATCGGCGAAGCGCAGGTTACTAAGGTACTCTCCATTAACTCTTATCCCTAGCTGTTCCCATCCTAGGCTTCTGAAAACCTCCTGTAAGCACACGGTAAATAGCATTGGGGAGATTGTGTCCCCCTGCCTTGCACCCTTCTTGATTGGTATTCTGTTGCTTTCTTTATGAAGCACTATGGTAGCAGTTGATCCCCTGTAGATTTCTTACAGGATGTTTATATATACTTCATCGACGCCCTGATTCCGCAGTGTCTGTATGACTGCTGATATTTCTACTGAATCAAACGCCTTCTCGTAATCTATGAAGGCTATGTATAGTGGTTGGTTATATTCTGAGCATTTCTCTATTACCTGATTGATAGTATGAATGTGGTCGATTGTTGAGTAGCCTGTTCGAAATCCTGCTTGTTCCTTTGGTTGATTGAATTCTAATGTTTTCTTTACTCTGTTAGCAATTACTTTTGTAAATAGCTTGTATACTACAGAGAGCAAGCTAATGGGCCTGTAATTCTTCAAGTTCTTGTCATCTCCTTTCTTATGTATTAAGATGATGTTAGCGTTCTTCCAAAACTCTGGTACTCTTCCCGTCAGGAGACACCTCGTAAACAAGGTGGCTAGTTTTTCTAACACAATCTGTCCTCCATCTTTCAGCAGATCTGATGTTACCTGATTCTCACCAGCAGCTTTACCTCTTTGCATGCTCTCCAAAGCTTTTCTGACTTCTTCTATCATTACTGGTGGGGTATCTGGATTACTGATAGTTCTTATAGTATTAAAGTCGTGGTTGTCCCTGCTACTGTACAGATCTCTGTAAAACTCCTCCGCTACTTCAACTATCCTATCCATAATTGAATTCAGGAACAGCGCAACCTACAAGTAGTTACTTTGTAACTACGGAAGCGAAAAAACAAGGACAGAAAAGAGCGCTGACTTTCAACAAAGGTTTAATGTCGGAGGGATGTACATATATAGGAGAAAAATGAGAAAAACGGGCATGCGTAGAAGGGTGCAGGAACAACACTGCGATACACTGTCAGCAAAACTCTTGTCTCTTGTTGTTTTCTGTCCTTGTTTTTTCGCTTCCGTAGTTACGAAGTAACTACTTGTAGGTTGCGCTGTTCCTGAATTCAATTATGTCCTACCAACTTGCCCAAGCTTCCACGCTTCATATCCTATCCATATTGGTAGTTATTTTGCCCTCTTTGTCCCTTAGTGCATACATCTGATTTTTGCCTATCCCAAGTTTCCTCTTCACTGCTTTGACGCTTCCTCCGTTTTTCAGAGCGTGTTCAATTCTCTCCATGTTATACCTTCTTACATCGGATACCTTACGCCTATTAATCAACTTCGAAAGCTCTGCCAGTTCTATTTTGTCTGTTGTACTTGAGACTTTCATGATTTGGCACTTCTTAATGAGATTCTTCGTTTCCTGGGAAAGCTTGCCAGTGTCCTGTCTAACTACCCTGCCTCCAACTTCCACTGCGCACTCCGTAATGATACTCCTCAGATTATTATTCATTGTATCTATGCTAAGGTTGGTTTCCTCACTAAGATCCAAGTACCTGTTCTGAAGTGAGACTCTGAATTCTTGTACTTTCCCTCTCAGTGCTAGCTCATTTATTGGCTTCTTGCGTATTAGTTTCTGTCGTTCCTTTCTCAAGTCTAGGCGAATTCGAGACCGTGCCATTCTATGGTCACTGCATCGTACCTTGCCAACCACTTCCACATCCTGCACGATGCCTGGGTGTGCACTCATTATAAAGTCTATTTCGTTCTTATTTTCGCCATTAGGGCTCCTTCATGTCCACTTGCGGTTTCCGGGTTTTCGGTAGAAGGTATTTAAAATCCGTGAATTATTGCGTTCTGCGAATTCTACTAGTAGCTCTCCTCTGGCGTTTCTAGTACCGATGCCATAATCTCCTACTGCCTGGTTTCCAGCCTGCTTCTTCCCTACCTTTGCATTAAAGTCTCCCATCAGTATTGTATATTGTGTTTTTACCTTACTCATTGCCAATTCCACATCTTCATAGAAGCTTTCAACTGGAGCGTCATCATGGCTGGATGTAGGCACGTAGGCCTGTACCACCTTCATCTTGTATCTCTTATTCAGTTTAATTACGATACCTACCACCCTTTCATTAATGCTATAGTATTCCTCTATGTTGCCAGCTATGTTTCTGTAAATTAGGAACCCCACTCCCAGTTCTCTTCTGTCAGCCAAGCCCCGATAGCAAAGGACGTGCCCATTCTGTAGCACCGTATAGGCCTCATCTGTCCTCCTAACCTCACTGAGCCGTATTATATCCCATTTAACACCCTCTAGCTCCTCGAATAGTACAGCTAGACTTCCCTCACTAGATAAGGTTCTAGCGTTAAACGTTGCCAAGTTCAGGTTCCAATGGCGGCCTGTCCGGATCCAGAGATTCTTAACACCCTCCGCTGCGTTGCAGATCTGACCGCCGCCGTGGTCAGTTGCTTCGCAGCTGCTGGGGACTGAGGGCCGTGAGTTATTTGACGTATGCATGTGGGAGGTAGCGGCCAGATACTGCACCAGGGTGGCCAATCCTTCTCTGGTGAGGGAGTGCGTTCCCGGCGGTGGTTACCGGTGAGGCCGCACCCCAGGCCTCGTTATGCAGTTCTATCACCATGCGGATTTTTTATCCGGTTGGGAACTGCGCGGCACCGGGATTTGAACCACGGACCTTTTGCATGCGAGGCGGATGCTCTAATCACTACGCCATCGCTGCTAAATGCATGTATAGACGAGGGTAATTAAAAATTTAGTGCCGTTAATAATTGTTCCAGTCAGCATTATTCAGGAACTACTTAGCCGACTAGCAAGTTTCACTAATCTGCATTTTACTATTTTCACTTACTAGGAGATTAGTGTTTTTTGTGATAAGTTAATGGTTAGTATTTAGTTAGTGAACATGCAAACCTTTTTTTTCAAGAGTGCATGTTTGAACAAATGGTGATGTCTCGATATTGTTTAAGCTTGAATGCGTTAATGCTAAAACGACGACATGTTGTAGTCTTTTGTAAGGATTTGGGGAGGTGCCGCCTTGCTTACGTGTGATTGCCTGTTTTGGCTACTCGCACCACTGCTTTCAAAAGTCTATTCTATACTGTATCTCTCTGTATGGTTAATCTTGTTGTAACAGTTCGTGTACGAATGTGTGCTGTGCTAACCTGCAGACCTTTGCGATAGAATTCCTGGCAAAGGCGCTCATGTGTGTAGTTAGGGGGGAAAATATTGCAAAAAAAAAAAAGAGCGGGGGATAATATGGGATGAGACGGTGCGCAAGCTGGTATAGGAAAGCTTCCAGTAAACACAAGCATCGCACCAGCGTCAATACACATTATAACTTAGAGAAGCGGAAGGGTTTTTTGAAGGGCCAATCGGTACATGATACTGAGGGGAACAGTGCAAAAGCGGGACAGAGAAAGATTGAACACACGACACAAGCGCTGATGGACAACTGTGTATAAATTTATTACACCTGGAAATATGTAGCTGGAAACAAGAACAAAAATCATCACGTGCACGTATGAGTGAAAGGCAAAAAAGAGATAATGTTTTTGAGTAGTTAACTTGTTCTTTTCGACTCGTGGCAGATTCTTTTTTGCCTTTGGTTTTTCTTTTTTGTGTGACATTTTTTGTTCTTGTTTTCAGCTGTATGTTTCCAGGTATAATAAATTTACCCACAGTTATTCGTCAGCGCTTGTGTCAGGTGTTCAATCTTTCTTCGTCCCGTTTTTTGCGCTGTTCCCTTCAGTGTTAGATAAGCGCTTTTTCCAATCTGTATCCAAGTCACCGATGGTGGCTGAAGCAAAAACAAAGTGAAGGATGGGGAGACAGCAGGCAGCTGTTGGCCACCGAGGGGGAAAGAATCTCATAGTGTAATGTGAGTATGCTGCCGCCGTTGTTCCGCATGACGAATACCATGGCATAGAGCCATGGTTATGCGAGGTATAGAGGGAAACATCAGAGCAACACAGTCTCTATAAGGACAGAATTACAGTAGGTGTGTTGCTTTACTATGCTTGTAATAGGCCAAGATATTTCAAATTACTATTTTGTTGTTCAGTTGAAGGGTCTTGCTTACTAATGTTTGAAGTTTGAAAATCAGCTCGTCGTCAAAAATGGGCTATTTTTTGAAAAACATAATTTCATTCCCATTCTATTCCGAGCAAAATGTGCTTAGTTCCATTCTCATTTCATTCCTCGAAGCTTTATCGCCATTCCATTCTCATGCCACTTTGGGGTCGCAAAAATGTGGAACAATTCTGGATCAATTCCGATTGAGGAGTGGCAACTTCGCAAGACTGCTGGCAGCACGCTGTTTACTCGCCCTTCCCTGGCATATAGAGTTGCGTAGGTTTGGCACTGGCACTTATATATAATAGCCAGTGTATGATGCCTTATCTGCCCATCTATTGTAAACAATAAATGACAGCAGAATGAAACAAACAGACAGCTGATACTTTAGAAGAGGAGGAGCTGGGCAGTCGACAGCCGGCTCAGTTGGAGCTGTCGACTGGTTTCAAAAGAAGGAAGTGCAACTGGGCCAGATAGAAAATTCAGGTGGCTGATGATGAACTGGAATGTGCTTGTGCAGGGAGGCGTGCAGCGGAGATCATCGGGAGAAGCCTTCTTTACTGCATAAAGAAAAAATACCTAGAAGGGGTGACGACTAGCGTACAAGCCTGTACATGGAGTTTGTGCTTTGGACTCATGTCTGAAAGTTCTTCAGTGCATTCTAAACTGGTTCGGGGTTCATGTGACTATAAATGTCTGATTATGCATTTGAGAGTTTATAATCATGTTCTCTCTGCAGTGTGGAGAAGATGTTTGGTTGCAGCCGGGATGACATGGTGGACCTTGCTGAAACATTGATTGTGGCACTGAATAAGATCCTAGAGAAACTGCGCCATGAGGTATGGCTGATATCTGCCACTTGAACATTGTCTCATTGTACAGGGCTGAGCTCATGCACAGTAAATACTGTATCTATTCGCATAATAAACACACCCCCTATATTCATCCGCTACAGTCCTTCTAACCGATATCTGGCATCTCCTTGATCGTTGGATCTCTTCCGTTTTTTATTATTATGCCAACCCCTCTCGGCAACAGCGGCTTGCTCCCTTTGCCCGCTGCTGCCGCCATATTGTTCCTTCTGCGCGTCGCACGTCCAGTCTTTTTTTTTTTATTATCCGTGCACCACAGCGGCGTTCACGAATGGGGCGAGTGTAGAGACATAGCAGCTGATAAGCCCACAGCAAGCGAAGGTCACGAAACTTAACGTGCAAACTGACGGCCGCTTTCTGCAAGTACGAAACTTTAAGGCCTACCTACATACCCGTGATTTCCGAGCGATAATGACAAAGTTTGCTGTCGCCATGGCTAGCCATGACTTAGGTGAAGGGCCATTCGTCGCCATCGCGTAGCAGGTTTCTGGTCAAGCAGGAAAAATTCCAGAAAAGATCGCGATGATTTTTGCAACCTAATAGAACTCCCAATTTCCGCTTCAATTGTAATACCGTATTTACTCGATTCTACCGCGCCCTCGATTGTAACGCGCACTCGATTTCCACCGCGAAAAAAAAACAAAAAAACGTAATACATCGATTGCAACCCGCACCCATTTTTCTCGCTGGCCCGCACGATCACACCACTCGAAAAAACGACTCCTTTCGGGAGCGTCTTCCATTTAAATATGAGGTACGGGCGAAGCTTGTGCCCATCTGACGTGTAACAGAGCATTGCAGTCCCTGTAGTTTTACCGTGGACCGATGTCAGCACGCGAACTTGCTTCGCCCCCTTCTTCTCGACGGTTGTGGTGCCAGGCATGTCGAAGTAAAGAGGCGTCTGATCGGCATTCCCGATTTGCCCAAACAGGTAGCCGTTGTTGCGTCGCAAGTTTAGGACGAACCTCTGAAAACTGTGAAGCTTTTCATCGTACTCCTCCGCAAAACTTTTCGCATATGCATGTTCCCCTTCGGAGGGAAAAGCCTTTCCTCTTCATAAAGTTAGTTAGCCAGCACCTGCTCGCTTTAAACTGGCTCCGCATTAGACCTTTTTCTAAGACTAATTGCATAGCCTGCACTTGGAGCAGTTCTGTCGTCACGGGCCGCTGTGCCGCTCGCTGCTCAAGCACATACTCGCCGAGCAGCTCTGCAGCTCTTTAATTTGCGGAAACCGACCCTGCTGTGGTTCACTGAAACCTTTGCATGAAGCTTTGCTGTCGACAATCTTCTGCTTTTGTTTCCGCCGGTCCCGCACGCACGTTTCGGGAACTCCGAACGACCGCGCTGCGGCCCGATTTCCGTCCGCTTCTGCACACGCGATGACTTTTCTTTTAAAAGCGGCATCGTGGTGCACTCGAGTTTTTGGAGTCGGCCCTTCCACGCCGTTGATGCTAATGCACTACTAGATGACGAACTCCTCAGCACACGTACGAAGTGCCGCACGTGGGAAACACATAGGCAGAAATGGCCGACGCGCCATGCCGACGCACGTAGGGGGCGGCCATTTTGGATTTGCCAATGGCAATAGATTGACCTAATGTTTTTGTTCGTACTCAATTCTAACGCGCATGCGATTTATGAACTCGCTTAACCGGAAAAAAGGTGCGCGTTAGATTCGAGTAATTACGGTAGGTGGATGGCTAAATTGTGGCTCACGCAGAGGATTGTGGGCTACGGGGCTCGTCTGTATCGACTTCCGGTTCGAGATGCCGTTCCGCCGTATGGTACATCTTGCCAGGACTGTCGCTTTCTGTGGGTTCCACCAAGCAGCTGCGGTGCCTTTTTCTCACAAATTGTTTCATAATACCTTGTAGAGCTATGCAGATTAATTGAATCATGAGTATAATGAAAAAGACTATAATGAAAAAAAAGTAATACGTCATTTACTCGCGTAATCCTCGCACTCTCATAATTCTCGCACCACTCCACATTGCCCAACAAAACTAAGATTTTTTTTCCTCGAGTAATTATCGCACCCCCGAAAATTGCCGCAATAATGTAGTCTGCTATTTCAGCCTTGATGATGATAGCGTGTGCTATCTGGTGCCCTCTCTTGAGCAGCAAGCGTACTAATATTGCATAGAGATTCAATCAAATTCAAGCCAAACCAAAGGGGTAAGTGCGCGTTGCAGTGTGTTTTGTATGTTGTGTCGATAATCTTGTCACGTAACAGGGCGATACTGAAGCTACACAGCTGCTTTCAAGTTGGAAGTGATTGATCATGCACTAATCAAGGACAACAGGGCCGCCGGTAGGTCTTTCGGAGTCGACGAGTTTTGTGTTCGCTACTGGTGACGGCAGCTGAAAGCCACCAAGACGCGTTGGGCCTGCGTTGTGCCTAAGACTGGGATTGATGGTAAACTTTATTTCTTCAGAAGGAACCTGCGGACCATTCTGTTAAATTGGCATCAGCCTTATACTTGCATCCCACACTTACCTTTTGAGGGCTCCTTTGAGCAACAAATGCTACCGCTACGCCCGCAACGTCCACAAGCTTTGCGTATGGTATTCTAAGTCATGACTATTTGCTTTCACTTTTCGTGTCTCAAATAATTATTGCCTTGTGTTGAGCCTCTGCTTTTAGGTTGAGGTAAATTTTTATTAGTACTTCTCAAAGCTTGCTGTTAGTTGCTGGTGTGGGAATCTCAATTTGCGGCCGTTTTGTTTTCTTTTTCGCCCTGTATGCTTTCATGAAAAGTTTTCCCCGCGTGATTCTCGCACCCTCCATCTTTGCATCGGTTTTCTGCCGAAAAAAATAGGAGAATTGTGCAAGTAAATACGGTGCTGCCACAGATGAATTGATAACTCCTTACAATTACCTATCAGGAAAATGCAGTAGTTGCCATGCTTTTCGTAGCAAATCGGACCAACAAGGAAATTTCGTGACACTTTTTCACGCATCCCCTGAATTTTGTTGTGGGATTCATCATACGACTCAAAAAGGCTCCCTTTTGCAGTTGCAGGCAGTAAGATCATGCACTCATACCACTTTGTAGAAGCTTTGTTGGACCTAAAGGTCTGCCGTCTACCAGGCTGTTATGCAGGACAAGAGACGGCCCGTGTGAAAGAAATGCTCTTTCATGGAATAATGAAACGAAACAGATGGCTTTGTGCCACTCTAGCAAGCAGCAGCTTGATAGGAGCACTGGCAATAATGATGAACGGCGTCTGCTTCGTTGGTGAACAACAGAAGCGAAGCAACAACACCAACTTCCTTCATGACATCTAATTTTGCTGTTGGCAGCAAAAATTGTGTGTGGTAGTCATCAGTGTGGATTGATTAAACAGAAGTCTTGCAAGTGAGTTTTATTCGGCCCATCTACATGACCTTATGAAGTGATGCCTCAGGGGAATCAGTAGGCTGCTCAAATGCAATATTTTGTGGCATGAACAAGCAGTGCATCTGCGGTCATTTTCTTGAGCAAGTCATGGATAGCTTCTTTCTATTGTGTGATATCCCAAAACAAGTGACAATGCCCTATTTCTTCCTTAGGGTGATCACTTGCAAAAAGCTAGGCTTGTTGATGAGGCGGCATTTATTTTTTCTCAAGGCTGCTTTCGAGATAACCATGAAGGCCTTCTATTTCAGACTACCACACTTGTCCTCCCCTGTCACGCAATTTTAAAGGTGTGCGTACACAAACGAAAACAAAACTGCATACGCAGTAGTTTGACATCTAATGCTTATAGTAGATTAACTTCTTTTAATTAAGAAGTAAACTGACGTGTTTGTGATTAGTTTAGAGCATGGATAAGTGTGTTTGCTTATAGTGAGGCAATTTTATATGCTAATTTATGTGCACAAAAGTATTTTTTATGTGCACAAAATTATTATAAGTTCTGTATTTCCTTATGTACTGAGGTCTAACTGTAACTGTACTGTATTTTGGTATATATTGAGGTCTAACTGTGCTTTTTCTGGAAGCAATACTCTTTGTGCTATGAACAGGCATTCAATTTGGTAGATATATTTAGGGGTGATAGTGACGCGAGGTAGTTTAATTACTATACTGGCCAGCCTATATTTAATCACCTCTCTTTCATTTGGGGACACATGATGTAGATGTTGGCAGTGGGGCTGTGCCGACTCCTTGGTAACAATGCAGAGTTTCATAACGGCATAGTTCTGACCTTTCTATGCTATGGAGAAGCCCGAAATTTCTGTGGCTTGGCAGCCACAGGATTTGTGGGTCTTTTGTGGTTCTTGCAAGTCATGATTAACATGAATGCGGTTGCCCAAGTCAGCACAAGTTTTTGTATCCAGTGAAGTCATCTGCAATCTGCTGATGTCAAAAAAGTCTGCGATCTCGCTGAGAAAATCGACAGTGGTTCCTCTAGGGATGTGCTGAAACTTATTGCTGAAGTTGGTCAGCAGAACTTGGGAGCATTTATTCTGTAACACAACAAAGCCTTCAGCTATGCAGATCTTTCTTTTGAATAAAAGCGGGCAGGTTATTTGCCTCTGCAATGCCCTCATAGTCATCGAATTCATCAAAATGTTGCAGGTTACTAATGTGAACACACCACTCTTCCGTAGTAACAGTCGTCTGGATGTGGCGTGTGCAGTGAAAAATGTCACCTGCAACTCTCGCAAGTTTATCACTACTCAGTAATCCTGGAGAAAGTCCCGTTCGAGAATTAGGTCTTTTGAGGAACTTTGGAGTATTATGAAATCTTCGGGATATATAAACACTTGAATGCTAACTCGTGTCGTGCATTGTTCCACCGGAGTTAAAAAATTACCTCCTGCTGTGCGGGTCTTGGACCTAGTCCACTGGGTAGAAACCTTAATCAGTTTTTCTGGAAAGATCCGCTCACACCGGTCATTCGAAGCACTCGCTTTTAAACAAGGGACAGATTTGCAAACCCATGCAGAGGATTTCGCAGACGTGTACACATCTGGCAGA